GCATCAGTAGTGTTAACCCTCTAATTACTAGCTACTTCTCTCCAAAATGCAAACATATCTTTAATAAAAAATGGTGAAAGAACTGACATAACAGCCTAGACGCATCTCTTGTCATTCAAAGAAATAAATTGAAAATTGAAAATTTTGGTTTCCCGGATGACCTATACCAGTTTTTAAGTCAAAATTAAATTTACACCGGCCAGTCTTGCTTCCAATGAGAAAGGTGAAGAATGCACTTTAAATCTTTAAACTTATGTCCGAGAATAATTTACAACTCCCAACTCACGCATTTACTCCCTCCGTTTTAAAATATAGTGTGCCCGAGGTCCCGAGGTTTAACTTTGACCATAAATTTAACTGACGAGACCAACTGCGGCGAGAGCAAAAAATTATATAATTGAAATTTTCTTTTGAATACGAATTCATTGGTATAACTTTTGCTCCCGCCGCAGTCAGTTTCATTGGTTAAATTTATGGTCAAAGTTGAAGCACGGAAATCAAGGACATGCTATACTTTGAAACGGAGGGAGTAATTTACAATTCTCAACTCACGCATCCTTGAACTGTCAGCACTCATAAGGACCCAGTCCTCCATGTCATAGTAAATTGTCAACCTCAAGATTTGCCGGCTCCAATATGACTATTAATTGGTTGACTGCTAATTTTGCTTTCCGATCTTCAAAAATTACTTGTGAAATTTTGACGATTTTGGCTTTGCCTTTTTTAGGACCCTCATCTCTTTTTTTTTTGAGGGAAAAAAAAGAGATGAGGGTGTGGGGCTGGCAAACGAGCGTGCCCCCCTGCCAGTTTTCACTTGCATTTGAAGGGTGTGGGGCTGCCAGCCGTGGGATGGAGATCATGCGACCCTAGGGGCGTTCGCTAGGGTTGGCCTACCAGGAAGCGTAAGCCAGATAGTATTTCCGTTTTTTAAGGGCCTTTCATATTGTCTTGCCAAAATACTGGAATCTTGAAGCCACGTCAGCACCTTGTCCCCGGCGGAGCCCGGACCAAACTCCTCCCTAGCTCCGCCGGCGCGATCTCCTCCGCCTCCCCTCGCGTCTTGGGTCGAGGCCCAGGCTTGAAAAATCTCGATCGCCCTTCGTGCTCCCTGCCGTCTCGGCCCCTAAACGACGCTTCACGCAGGATTCGATGAGGCTCATGTCCAGGAAGCGACACAGGCAGCGCTGCCGCCGGCGAATCCGAGACCGTAAGGCTCCTGCTTGCACTCTCTCCCTCTTTTTGCTTCTCAGTTCTTTATTTGCTTTTGTTTTGTATATTCTCTTAGTGTGTTACATAGATCTGTTGGTACAGGAAGAACTGTTTATTTGTGTGTGGCGGTATAGGTGGGGATTCTATTTGGGTGGGAATTGGACGAAGCTCGATCACTTGGATGATCTAAGTCGGCTAGCCTATGTTTACTTGGGCACAAAATTGGGGAATTCTGTCCTAGTCTCCTCTTTAGTGCCAATGGCGAGTTCTGCCTGAAGAGATTACCCTGCCTAGAAATTACAGTAGAAATAATTCAAAAGCTATTTTGACTGGAGGGGAAGGCAGCATCCGTTATTAAGAAAGATGCAATCCTCTCGGATAACCTGCACCTAGAGGGAAATCTTCTTGATTTTCAGAAATAGGATCTGATGTGCAACACGCGATATCCTTGAGCTTGCATTCTAATGCCTGTTCTCACCATAACGGTGGTCTATTGCAGGTGGACCGGTTGCTTTGGTGGCTAAAAGAAGGAGTCTGCGCTGCCAGCAAGATGATAACTATCATGTTGACAGAGGAATATCTTGTCCCGATCTTCCAGAGGTACATGATGCTGATACTTAAAGAATTCCACCCGTTTCAAGTAAAATCACATTTCCTCTGTTGGAGACCACGGGCAAAGCTTGTGCTTGCTGGGTAACAATGGACATGTATTGTGGCGCTTCTTGGTATGTTTGGTTCCTGAGGGCTTACAGGCAGGATGTTGAACGGAAAGTGAGTGAGTGGGGGCTCTCAAGGCACTGTTTCGTTTGGTTATTAAGCTGTAGGCATGTGTACTTGTTGTGGCTTATGAACAGTAATTTGGAGGTTTCCATAGGAATTTTTGTTCTTTGTAGTTTTCTATCACTGCAATGATATCTAAGGACTCTGGCTTGTCTCCTCTCCAGGATGGAGAGGGGGTAGATTGTGTTTTGGAGGGTTTGCTGGGGATTTGGGTAGGTGTCTGGTTTGGGTTGAGATGTTTTTGCTTTTGGATTTTGTAGCCCGTGGTATCTGTCAATGTAAATTAGAGGAAGTTGTATAAAAAGTACATGGAGTTTGAGAGGAAATCAACTGTTGAAGCTAAATTCATGTAGACTTACTAAATTTCTGCCAAGGAAGAGAATGGCAGGATCTGGCTTGAATTCCACCAGCGAACTCCATCCAACAGCCCTCCAAACAAGATGTTTCTAATTTTCTAGTGCTACAGTTTGTAATAAGAGGAAAGTCCTTTCTAAAATTAAGACACGTTTGGCTATGGTGCAAGTATCAGCCTCGTAATGCTGTCATACAAGAGTTCAGTTGAAAGAAACGACATCCAAAAACCTGGGACCTATGTTATACCCAAGAAAACACCGATACTTCCCTGATACCTCTCAGGCTCTAGTAGTGCCGGTGGTGGGCTCCTTTCCCCGGTGCTCCCGCTCCCCTTCCCCCCACTATCCTGTAGAATTCTATCTAATGGAAGGCTTCTGATTTCCTCCTCCTCCCTTTCTCTCTAACTGAATTTTTATGTTTGGTAAATTGCTGCTACCCTTTGGCTGCTGGTTCTTGCTTTTGTTGGAATCATGGATATGAAGATAGAAGATAATGGGCTGCACTGACTAAATATATGCTAAATGGCTCGATGCTTAATTGATAACATATTCTTTATATTATTTTCAAAATAGTCAAACCTATCCTCGTATTGACGCTTTTCAGAAATGATGTACTCCATTTACGTATCCGTATCGCCCCGATACTGACACGCGTATCGATATCTCTGCAATCTAGGTTGTACCTCTCCCTGGAGTAGAGGCAGGAAGATACCAACTAATAGAGTATACCCAGAATTGTAGCCAAGCTTAAAATGCGGGGTGCCACATTCGGACTAGAAGGATGGGGGTATAAACACTTTTTACTACATAATCATTTCCTCTGAATACTTCGTTACCTTCCTGAGGTGTCGAGCAGCCCTAATCAGTGTTCTCCTTTCTCCAAAAAAAAAAGTATCCAGGCTTCCATGCATGTCTTCACATCACTAGTTGCACTGTTCCCTTTATGATGTCTAATGCAAACATATAGGCAGACTGAATCACCATTTATTCTTAGGGATTGCTATTTTATGATTTTATCTGAGTTTTTTCAATCTATTTTCTTGCATCTATAATTCTAATGTGTGTATTCTCCTATGTCTGCTGCATACAGGATATCTTGCGGCATATTCATGCCAAAATGACACTTAGAGATGCTGCTCGTGCTGCTTGCGCATCGCACACATTCCGACACAACTGGATATGCCGTCCCAACCTTACATTCAGTCTGGGAACACTTGGCTTGAATAGAAATGCGTCTAGGGATGTAATAACAAGAGATCTTATCAGCAAAATTGACCTGATTATGCAAAATCACTCATGCATCGGCGTGAAGACACTAGACATTGATCTCTATAGTTGTGACAACATCGACTTCGCCTATCTTGATAGTTGGCTTCGTATTGCTGTTACTCCAGGGATTGAAGAACTGATCCTGACGCTGCCTCTACCCACCATTGTTTTCGAGAATGCTGTACCCATCATTTCAGAGTATAACTTCCCTTGTTCACTATTATCTAACGGGAGTGGAAACTCAATTCAATATCTCAACCTATGTTACTGTACCTTGCGTCCCACGGCTGGTCTTGGTTGCCTAAGAAGCCTGACAAGACTGCATATGAGTTGCACGCGGATTACTGGGGATGAATTATGGTGTCTCCTTTCCAATTCTCCCGCTTTGATGTGCTTGAAACTCCTGCACTGCGAGGAGATAATTTCCTTGAAGATACCTTCTCTGCTGCAGCGTCTCCGTTTTCTGGAGGTGGCCTATTGCGATAGGCTGCAGGTGGTAGAGAGCAATGCTCCAAATCTCACCACTTTTTACTTCGCAGGTTTCCTAGGTCAAATCTCACTTGGGGGCTCACTGCAAGTGAAAACCCTACGCATGATATGCTTCCGCCAGACCAACGTTGTCTGCTATGCTCGGCAAAATCTTTTGTCTATTGCGCCAAATGTTGAAACACTCACCATATCATCACTGAATGAGGTATACCCTGAAACTTTAGATGATTATTATGGACTTGCTATGCCCCGCGATAAAAGTAAAGTAGTGATACATTGGAATGCAATTAAGGTCTCAGATGTCTTTATGCAGATGGTGAACACACCGATGCTATCTAGCAAGTTTCTCCACCTCAAGCTCTTGCAGATTTCATTAGTGGGAATGGCTTTTTCCGGAGCTTATGATTATCTTTCTCTGGTTTCTTTTCTCGATGCTTCTCCTTGCTTGGAGAATTTCGTAGTAGCTGTAAGTTATTTCATCCTTCCTTCATAAGTATTTGGCATCTTGGTTTCTCTGGAGGGCAGTGGCATTGATATTGGTCCTATGCAGATATCCCAGCATCGCATGGAGCATGCTTCGATTCTCGGAGAGCCCTCACATGATCTGAGGCAGATCCCGCAGCAGCGCCATGACAAGCTCAAGAGTGTGACGATCACTGGCTTTTGCTCGGCAAAGAGCTTGGTTGAGCTAACATGTCATATCCTCGAGAATACAACATCACTCGACTGCCTTACGCTGGACACCACATTTCATCCTAGTTGCTCTGTCATGAAAGTTGACAAGTGTCACCCCCTCATCCTCATGGATGGGGATAGCCTCGTGGAGGCACAGAAAGCGCTCTTGGCCATCAGAAAATACGTTGTTGGGAAAGTCCCCCCTATGGTCAAGTTAAATATCGTGGAGCCTTGCAGCCGATGTCATACTGTTGAATCTTTGGTCTCAATGGCCGGTTCTTCGTAATTGTGCAGTTCATGCAGCTTGGTTAATTCATGCAGTCACCCTTGCAAGTTGGAAAACATGCAACGTTTTACAAGGAGCATTGCTATGCATACGGCGATTTCCATATATAGGACACTGTAGATCGAACCGTCCCTGTGCCGGAACAAGCTGCAAGGCACCATCCGATCAGGCCTCGTACAAGATCGTATCACCAGGCATCGTACGTGAGAAGTTCTGTTTTACAAGTTCTAATTCGGACCAAGCGAGAAGAAAAATCTAAGAATCAGTGATCAGACAAGCATGCCTGCTAGTTTGTTCCAATGCACAGCGAAATAAGACGAGATTGTAAGGATAAAAAGGTCGGACAAGCACACCTGCTGGTTGTTGGCCTTTATTTCAGTCAATTTTTCAGAAACAGAAAAATAATAGACCAGAAATGGCCACAGGATCCTCATCGTATAGCCAACAAAATGTTTCTAAAATTTGTTCACTTCCTACACAACAGAGACACCACATTCAGAATCCTCATCATCTCGACAACTGGCAGCGTCTAGGTCTGATATTTCCAGATTCAACTATGGCCTAATTATCTTCGTCCCCAAATGCAAGGAAGCCAAGAGACTAAATAAAAATCACCCCATTTGTTTACTGAATGTGAGCTTAACAAAGTTGCTAGTGATGTCATCTCCCTCGCCCAAAAGGCATTAGTTAAAGGTAGATATATCATGAAAGGAGTTTTGATTTTGCATGTGAAGCTTTAAATTTTGTACATGTCAAAAAATAAAATGTTGTTGTGTTTATTGTTGACTTTCAGAAATATAAAATAAATGATCTTTTATTGAGTAGATGCTTACGATAAAGGGCTTCCCT